CCTTTGGAGATCACTGGGGTGCCCAGGCAGGGTTAGACTGCTGAAGAGAGGAAGGTGAAGGGTGTCTGAAGGGGGTGTTAAAGAACTGCGTAACACGTGCTCTTTGGAGAGCGATGACCAGGAGTCCGATGGCCTCCAAAGCTGGAGAAGCCCCAACGGTGGCTGCCGTTTTGTGGGTCTTGCTGTAGGGAAATGAGTGTCCTGTGGGGTGGAGGCATAGCTAAAAAAATCTGGTTCAATTCTGCTTTCTAGGAAGTGAGTGGAGATACGTGATCCTGTCGACTGTACGCTCCTGCCCCCGCTCAGAGATTGATAGGAAGCCCACGAAGAGCTGGCAGAAGAAGTACCTGGGGTTTGTGACCGACCCAAACCAGGTCAATGTCGGCATCACGCGAGCTCAGGAAGGACTCTGCATTTTAGGTGGGTCTCTTGGGAGTGTGCACAGGCTTGCAGGGGAACGGGCTGCTTGGATGAAGGGGTGGAGATCCAAACGAGTATGACAGATGGTCTTGCTTGATTCTTCTGCCCTTTAGACTGTCTGTGGTTTTGAAACCGGGCAACCTGTGCAAAGCAGAGATTGTGCATGGCTGGGATGCAGCACGTATAATTAGTTTTTCTCACCCTCTGGTTGGGACCACGTTGTTTCTGTCACTTGCATGCTAGAGCTCTCTCCTAACAGAATTTGGCTGCTTATTTTCCTCCAAAACACAGAGACGTAGGCTGTGATGTGTAGGAAAGCTGCTCACAGCACTGAAAAGGGAGCTGGGATGTCACAGAGCTCTGGCTGAAGGAAATGTCCCTGCAAGTCATCCAGCCACCCTTAAGCTAGAAACGTTAGAGGAAAGTTTCTGTGACGGTATCGTCCGAGCCCCTTCCGGCCACTAACCCGCTGCCCCCACCCCTGTGCCAACAGGGAACCGGTACCTCCTGGAGTGCAACCCTTTGTGGAGGAGACTACTGCAGCATTACAGACAGCACAACTGCTATACCACAGCCCAGGGGATTTTTGTCAGGAAGACTTCAGCCTTCCACCGATGAGGATGGGTCGGCCCCTCCACCCGAGCTGCGTTACGTGTGCCTTGGGCAGGACCCAATCTTTCCTTTGTTGAACGACCTGCGGAGCCGAATGCAGTGGAGGAGGCGAGATCTTCCCTGCACAGTGTCGGCTCGGCTTGAGTGCGTGCTCTGGCACCGTGGGGTTTTGGTTTTTTTTTTTTTTTTTTTAAGCAGTGCAACCTTGAACGGGAACTTTCAGCTCTAGCAAACCAAAAAGCATTGGGAACGGATGGATGGGCGTGTGACTTTATCGATGATGCTGATATTTTTTTAACTGTTCAGATGTTCAGCAGAGCCCCCATCCTACCTGCCAGTGCAGCTGCGCTTTGGGGACCAAACACTCAGTCCATTCATTGAGGGTGGAATGACTGCACGCAACGGAGCCGCGCAGCAAGCTGCGACTTGCCACAGAGGACCAAAGCTTCTGAATACTACCACTCACGTTAAAACCAAGGCCAGGGAATTTTTAAGGTTTCTCATTTCTCAAAGCGGAAAAACAATTTTGTTTTGTTTGCTTTGGGTTTTTTTAAGTGAAGGAAGAAAGCGAAGAGAGAACCTGTATCACTTTTTGTCTAGTCAAAACACCGTTCTCTGAGCGTGTAAATATCACAGAGCCAAGAGGAAGCTGATTTTGTAAATAGATTTATTCTTTGTACAAAAGAGGTTGTCCTCACTAGTATGGTTAATGAAAAGCGAGGACCGCCTCTACCAGGAAACGGAATTTGTAAGCATATTTTAAACTGTTCTGGGTTTTATTTGAAATCTCCTCCTGCAAGAGCCCCTCTTTCCTACCCCATATTTTTTTTTAAAGCTGCTTCTAATTTATTAAGTTTTAATTCTGTGAATTTGTTTCATAGTCTTACAGCCTGAGTTTTTATGAGCGGTGATGGAAATTTGATAAATGTACCACAGCATATATGTGTATAATGTATTTTTTTTATTTTAAGTAGCCGAACTGCTGTGAACTGGAAGCTGTGATTCACTAGAGAAAGCTGCTTTTGCCCAGTAACGTATGGCTGATGCAGATGGATAGCGGTGAAGTGGTGCTCTCTGCTGAATCATGGAGCTGCTTTTTGAAGCATGAGATTTTTGAGCGAGGGGTGTCTTTTATCTTATTTCAATTCTGAATGTATGAAGTGCCTGCCTCGGCTCTCCCCAAGGCCACACGCTTTGCCGTCTCTACATGTTCACGTGGGATGGAACCAAGATGCAGTTGCGGTGGTTTTGCACCGAGTCTGTGCTGTGCTGGGACACAAGTCCTGCTTGGCGTAAGCGAGGGGTCCCCGTGGCTTCGCAGTGCTATGGCAGGGATGAATTTTGTCCTGTGTTTGCAACTGAAGATGCAGCACGGCTCTTGTCAGTGAGGAAGAATGTGCAATAATAAAGCACTGTGTCTGGAAAAGTCCTTATTTAACGCTGTGTTTCTTCTCATGACTCTGTGTTAGACTTGACTCAAGAGCCTACGGAGAAATTTTGTCGTTCTCTTCCTTAAACTACCTTCCTGCACTTCTGCATTCGGTGGGTTTGAGCTGTACTCTAGGGACCACCCAGGCTTGCTCTTGTCTTATTGAAGCCATGGCCGGCGATTCCACGAGGGACAAAAGCCCATAGGAAACACCTCCTGCTAGTACTAAAGATGCTTGATAAAAGCTGCTGAGATGAAAGTTCGTTGTTCCTCTTTGAAGTCATCCTGGCTGGGATCTTAAAAGATTCTGCACCAGCCTGATTTTGCAAATATTATTGCAATTCCAAAATAAAATTGTATGGGAATAATTTTGTGGACTAGTGAAATGCAATCATGTGTCTCCAAGATGATGTGGAGATTTGCAAAAGATGCTGGAATCCTTGGGATAAATACTTTAGCGTGGTGCCAGCATCATTCTAAGTCAGTCACCTTGGTCCCTTTAGAACCAGCTGGCCTCATTTTCATCATCTAATGTAAAGGAAGAGTCACTCCCCTGTTTTTTTTGGCTGGTTATTTCATTACATGTAACACAAATGAGGAGACCCACGGCAAGTGTAGTGGCTTAGTCCAGTGCTGTTGCGTGGGGTTTGGCCATGTGTTTGTATAGACCAAGAAAGGACATCACAAAGATCTCCCTTTGCCCTCAGTGGGGGAAAAAGTCTTTACTGCTACTCCTCGGAGGGTAAAGCTGAGACTGAAAGGCTTTGCTTGGTCACCCCTGTGTTGCAAGACAATATACATATTTTTTTTTCCTCTGAAGATGCATTTTGCAACTGCCCTGGACCACCTAAGCAGCAGGAACAGCCAGGCTGTGAGCAGGTACCTGTAGAGTTGGTCATGCAGCTGCAATAGTCAGGGATAGCAGAAAGTGCAATTAATCAAACTTTTTATAGACTGTTAGTGGCAGCTGAGTATCATGTTCTTGTCCTTATGCTCATGGAAATAGAGACTCGTAGACATTAATAGAGAAAAAAGGATCGAAGTAGTCCGGTTTCATTTGCACATAGAATTTACTTTTGAAAGAATTTTTTGTTCAAGCTCATATTCGTAAAATACTTCCAAAAAAACAAAACTACCAAACCTTTGGTGATTCCAATGAGAAACCACTGGCAGCACGGCGCACAGGGTAATCTGTCCAGTCCCAGGCTCTATGTTTTCTGCAGCTCGCAGATGAAAGATCGCTGTTGCAGGCCACGAATGTCGGTTCACCCAACAGGGTAACTTACGTTTCCTCGGCACTAGCTAGAGCTTGAGCCCGAGTTGAGCACCGGGAACCTGCCCACGCAGCAAACGGCGTGAGGGTCCGTGCGGTTCCGGCCATAGCCCTGCGTCCTGCTCGGACCGGCGGCGGAATTACAGACGTCCAGAAGTAGGAAAAAACCTCTCCTTGGCCTCCGCGGGCAAAGGAGAGGCCCACTGGATTGGTTTTGAGGATTGGGACAGATCTGTGGAGGACAATCAATTTACTGCAATAAATCTTTGGAGGTTTTTTTTTTTTTTAATGGAAATGAAATGTTAAGTGTCATGAGGTGTAAATTATGGAACTTTAAATGTGGCAGGTTTTTATCTTTTGTATGTCTGTGACTTGCAGCAAACCTCAAGGGATGTTTTGGATACAAATATTTTTACCTGCTTCTACCATTTATAAGAATGAACCTCAACATTCCTTTTTTGATATTTAAGCCATAATTGTACAAATGATTTATTTAAATAATAAATTTTATTACTAAAAGGTCTGTTTATGTGATGATTTGTCTAGAATCTGTGTGGGGACAGCTATATTTGGACTGAACCAAATGGTGAAAAAGAAAATGAGCATTAACTGCAGTATATGGCAGAAAAGATTGTTTTCTACATATTGGTCGTGTTTGCTGTGGGGATTGGGGGGGGTGGTTAGGGGATTTTGTCGTTGTTTTGTCATTTTGTTTTTTTTTTTTTAATCAAAGTCATCTTTTCACACACTGCAGAGGGAGGAGTGCGAAATTGTGCTTAGGTCCTACACAGCCCAGGGTGTAGAGGGCAAGAGGAACCAGAGGTGGAGGTAAGTTACGGTGAGTGATTTGAAGAGTTTAGGATTCAGTTCAAGTGTTTTGAAGGAAGGACGTGGGAAAAAAGATAACTTGGGGTAATAAAAAAAAAAAACAAAAGAAAGTCATTGCAAGAAGCTGGCACTGGACATCTTTTGGAGGCTGGAACGCACTGGGATGGCAGAGATGCTTCTCTCTCCTGTGCTTTGCATCCGAGGTGTCCTGCGAGACTGCCGGCTGCTCCCACCCGTGAGTTCGGGCAGTGGGGAGTGAGTGTTGAGTCCCCAATGCTGCCTAAGGATGTGACTGTGTGCGAGACATTTGGAATGGGTTACTGTTCACCTGGAGCGATTCGGGGAAGGCGCTTGTAAAATGGTTGTTGAAAACGGAATAACTCAGTTTTACGCAAAATGTTTAAAAGGAAGGTTTGCCTTTAATTTTTCTCATTCATCTTTTTCAAGTGGATGAGAAAAATGCTCTTGTGCGCCACCTCATCCTTCTGGTGCCCAAGCTCTGCTGTCCACGTCGTCGGGAGCGTTAATTTGTGTCTCCAATGTAATGCTGTCGTGCCATTTTTCAAAGACAAGCGTGGGAGTGTTTGATCTTTTAACTGTGAATTCGTACAATCTGCCAGGCTGCAGATCCCGGACTACGCATGTGTTGGAGGTGACTGTCTGAATCCTACCGTATCCCACATCTGTCTGAGTCCCATTTGTCAGTAACTTAACGTGCAGTTCACATGGTTCGAGGTGTGACTCTTGATTTTCGGAAAACCACTTGAGCTTGGCCCAGTCCTTGTGTGCAAATGATTCATTTCGATCAAAAATCAGTGGCATCTTTGTACAGAGAGAAAGCCTAATCTTGGGGAGTCCGGCATGTCTAAGATCTGCATGGGACACCAAACGGTGCTTGACATAGAGCTTTCCTGGCACTTCCAAGGAAAGGAGAGTTTTCATGAACTCGGAGAGATTGGACAGTCTCTGCATAATCAAGTCCCACTGGGAGAGGAAGGTTGTCATGTCACAGGTCTCTACGTAACTGCTCAACTCCTCTCGACCTTGTTCCAGCTGTTCTAACAGCTCGGTTAAAAGTGACAGCTGGATTTCAGTCTGGTTTTTTCCCACCTTCTTCATCCTCTGGAGTTGGCAGGGGTCTGCTAGTTGCAAGATGTCAATGCAACGCATCATGTGGTTCTGGTCTCTCACGTTCAAGTGTTTGGGCTCGATGTCCAAGTAAAAGTAGCATTTCTTCAGCAGCTCAACTTTGTTCTGGTGGTGCTGGAGGTAGTGGAGGCTCAGGCTGGAGTGCAGGAACTGCAGAACAAGGTTTCTCCTTTCCAAATACTGCTGCCAGCTGGTGTTGTCTTGTTCTTCACTCTGCACAGTACTCTCCAAACTGGATTCTAATTCATTCAACATCACAGACATGATTCCAAAGCTTGGTTGCTGTGTCAGAAAACAGCAAGAACAGCATTAAAAACCAAAGGAAAAGCCGCTGCGAGGGACTATAATCATGGCTGTGACTCTTTTCCTCTCTTAGTTATAAAGCTTAGCTTATAAATTTATAGATGGGAAAGAACTGTTAGACTAGGTGTAGGTCCAGAGATATCTTCCATTATAGTGGTAGGATTTCTAATGTTTTGTACAGTCTACTTTTATATATTCCATTCAACTGGTCGCCTGCTACTCCCCCCTTGAGAGGTTCTACCTCTGCTTAATAGATCCACTGTCAGGAACTATTCTCTGATATACTCTGACGAAATTTCTCCCTATCTTATTATCTTCTGTTTCATTCTAATTAGATGCCTTTGTACTCCTGTAAGCAATTTCTTTCCATTCTTCTACCCCTCTGGAGATCTCTATTTTTCTCTCTTTGTAATCTGCCAGGCTGTTGAGGTATGAGACCCATCTTCTAAGCCAATTCTTACAGCTCCATAATCACCTTGGTGATTCAAATTAACCCTCTGCCCCCCAAGCGAGCTGGTACGCAGCAGGCAGAACCATGCAACACATGGAGTGCCACCTCACAACAGCTTTCAAGAGGAATGCTAGCATTTTTCCTTGCACCTCTGCCTCCAACAGTGGATTGGCAGTCATAACCTGACAACGTTTTCAGTGATGTAGTGCTTTCCCTTCCTTTGGTTTTAGTTTGTATCATACCTCGGCCCATGCTATCTACTTGCTTTCTTGTAGAAGGATTCCATTACTCTATAGACAACGTACAGTGTAAGAATGAAATACACGTAAAGCACCTGTGAACAGGTAACAGTTTGCTGTTAAGAAGGTGTTTCAGTAGTGGTCCTTCGTGGCGCCGTATCTGCTGTCTTAGCTGTTCCATCTACCAGCAAAGCCGTGCTCTGGCTGGTGGTGCCTGCTGAGCCAAGATGGAAGGTGTTTCTCTGTTGTGCTTTCGCTGAAGTACCTGCAGCTCACACAGCTTATATATCATACACAGAAATTAGCTAAATAAATGTCCGTGTCCCTGCTGTCAGTGATATTGTAAGGAGAATGAAGCTTGACGCTGAGAATGTGGCTTTCACAAGCTGAACACGATTTGAAATACAGAATTCTGAACGAAAGATTTTGTGACCTCAGTCAGACTGCTATGACATGCTCTAGCAACATTTAACTTTCCTCATTCTTTGTCATTTTCTAGTTATAATTATTTAAATTCTTGTAGTGTCTAACTGGGATACTTCAATTCTTACATGTCTTGTGGAAGCTAGATGGTGGTATCTAGCTGACAAAGCAATTTTTCTTAGCCTTATTTTCTCTAAATACGTTACCGAACTCATACTACTTCCTCGGAGGAATTTCAAGTGTTTGTAAACCTTTCAGATGTCTGGCCCCTAGCTGCGCTACAATTTATACTGAAATTCACTCGTTCACAGCAACTTTGTTTCCAAGAGAACTGTCAACTTTAAAAAAAAAAAACAAAACAAAACCAAAACAATCTGTATTTCCTTTTCGCCTTTTTTTCTTTCCACAAAAAGAAAAAAGAAAAAAAAAAAAAATCTAAACCAAAGCAGTGCCAGCTCCTGGCATCCCCGTATGGAGTGCAACAGGGACAGCACACGCACCAGGTTACATTACCCCGCTTTCAGCACGATTTGGCTCCCTAGAGCAGCCTGTTTGCCCACAGGCAGAGCTGTGATTGTGCTTGTTTTTATATGCCTTTTTTTTTTTTTTTTACCCCTTGCCAGAAATGACTGTTTTCCTAGTAGCACCGCTATTTGCAGCCTGGGAGGCTGCAGTTTATCCAAAAGCTGGGGGGGGGGGGGGGGGGGCTGCTCGGTCCTGGGCTCCCCCGGGCCAAGGCTTGGGGGGGGGTGGGGGTGGAAGGGGGCACCCATGGGTGCTGGAGCCACCCCAAGGCTGCGGCCCTCCTCGCGTCACCCCGAGGTGGGGGGACAAACCCCGGGGTGCAGGAAGGTTTTAACCAGCCCCGTCGAGCCCCGGACCCACCTTGTCGGGCCCCGGGGAGCTCCGTCCAGCGGCTCCGGCCCCGGCCCGCCCGCCCGCGGCCTTGTAGGCCGCGACGGTTGCCATGGCGACGCATTATGGCGTGCGGGGCCGGGACCGGGACTGGGGCCGAGGGGGGGTCCCTGCCTGCCCCTGCCCCGGGGGGAGCCGCGGGCAAACCGCCCAAGGACGAGGCTGCAGCACCTTGGGGTGGACGCGGGTGCTGCTCCAGCTCGCCGGGCCGCCGGTTTCCACCACCCAGTCACGGCCCCCAGCACCCACCAACTTCTCCCCCTGTGATGCTCTTTCCTCTCGGCAGCAGCGGGTTGGGGGCGGTGTGGGGGGTCGTGCCCTAATTATCTATGGGACTGTAGGTCCCCAAATTGTTTGTGCCTTCTCCGTAAATCTCAGTAATCTGCTCCTCAGCCACCCACACACACACCCCCCGCCACCGCTTCACCCTCAGGTCCCTGGGGAAACGCGGTACCTGCAGGTTTGGCAGCCGGCCCGAGGGGAGACGGCCGCGCGCTCTCTGCCCGCTCTAATTAGCAGCATCTGATTTTATACCAAAAGCAGCAGAAAGCCGGTGGCTCGAGTCACTTACAGCGAGCCGGCGCACAATGCCCAGCTGTTGTAATCGTGGTGTGATGCATGCGAGGGCTCAGCGCGGTCCCTGGGCTGGGCATGGTGCACTCGGAGGTGCGAGAAGGCAACGGCCCGTCGTACTGGAGGGCACGGAGGAGAAGAACAGTGGGATTGAGGGCTCTGTGCTTCCCTCTTTGCTGGCGTGTTTTGTTTCACTCCCATCTTGTGCCCTTGCTGTCGTGACGGGACTGTGGGAGCGTTAAGGGGGCGAAAGGACCGTGCTCTGAGGTTTGTGATCATCAGGGCATCCAACATACGCTTTCCAAAGCCTTGCTTTCCTGCGCAAAATGTCCCCGTTGCTCCTCCAGCGTGTTTCACCTCCACTCCGTGGAGCTAGGCAGCATTTTCAATGTTTGATGAGCCCTAGCTGCAAGGCCAAGGAGCCTGCCTAACTGAGCTGCTTCACTGCGGGCTGGTTTTAAACTCTGAGTTTAGAGCCTGGACCTCAGCGGCAAACTGCGAGGACACAGCCTCCAGCCAAGGCTCCCTGCAGACAGAGCTGAAGGAGCTAAGGCAGGACAGCCAGAAAATGGTAAATGCTAGCTCAGAGCAAGGCGCAGGGAGTGCAGCACTGAGCCGAAAAGCTGGCTCCCTCCTGGGAAGCCTTAAGGTCGTGGTAGTGGCACCCTGCGAGGTGGCTGCGGTGAAGGGCCATGCTGACACACGGGTGCCTTGTTTCTCACGCCACAGGCACCTCGCCGGGGCTCTGAGTTTTGCCTGGTGTAGGTCTGTCTCTGCTCCTGGGGGCTGGTGAATCCTCGCAGCCCCCGCTAGCCGGGCTGCTCCAATCAGCTGCACTGTTTGTAGCATTTCTGGAAGGACGATTGCGAATGACCCTGCCCTGAATTCCTGAGCATTAGGGCATATGATGGTCAGCACCCCGCTGCTGCTCTGCCTGGGACCTGCTCTGAGCCCAGAGTGGGGTGGATCTGAGATACCCACAGCTGGGCTTCAACTTTGTTCTCTGCTGCTTTGCAAGATGTTAATATTCATCCAGGCAAGCATAGGCGGTTCTGCAGTACTAACAGGACCTGCTGGGCTTTATGGCATGCTGTTTGGCAGGGGTATTTTAACTTTTAAAGGGTGAATCTTTCAGTCTTTACATCTGAGGCCAGACACGCTCCAGTGCTTTGCTCTCCACAGCGAGACTGAGGCTGTTTCACAAAGTGTCAGGAGTTTTGTTAAACACATAGTCCTTATTAAAGGGATGTGTTGAAACGGGATATAAACTGCTCCAGTAAGTGCAGCGAACTGCGTTTTGCATAGGAAGGGATTTTCCTGCTCTGCCTTGCTGCAGGACCTGACTGGCCAGTCAGCTGTTTTGTCATGGAGAGACTGGCTCGTCTTGTTCACGGTGGCAAGCTCAATACCATGACCAGTGTGTTCATCAGGAAACACAGGCACCTGCATCTGAAGGTGCTTCATACTCCGTGCGATTAAATCTTTGGGTCAAGGATTAGTCTTAATGCTGTCCTGTACACTTAGCTGGTGCATCTCTGCTAAGCTTTTTTAATTGAATGATAGGCAAGATCCATAACACCAGCCCTGAGCTTCTGCTTGAACATCAAGGGAGGAGGCAATCTGTCATTTTAAGAAATCAATGCATCTTCTCAAGGCAGCCGGAGCTTACCATTTCATTTCACAGCTGCCAAGAGATTAACTATACGATTGTCAGCTATGATTCTCTAACAGACAAGGAAGATAACAAATATGAGTGAAAGAAGGTTGATTGATAGCCTTGCTTGGGAGGGAGGACTAGCAGCCATCAGTATTTGGTCATAACTCCAGGTTTCTGCAGGAAATTAATGTTCATGCTCATGTCATGGATCCCAGTCCTGCTATTCAGGCTGTGTGTGCCGGGCACTAGACCTGGCTTTTCCCTCGCCTTTGGCTTAAGGCCGTAAGAAGAGTCCTGTGGAGGCCCAGCTAACCTCGCCTCCTGTCTGAAGATGTCTTTGTATTTACTAGCTCTCGGTGGAGAGCATGTCTGCCTTCGAGGTGGCCAGGTCTAGGCTGCTCAGGGTGTTCCTGTACCCCAGAACTGACCTGAAAAAGGTGGAGGTAGAAGTTGAAGGTATCGCACAGCTGAGCTGGGCGCAGTGGCTGAGCTTCTCACACAGCAAAGGTGAAATCCTGGGCTTAGCAATTTTTGCTCCTTGTTTTGGCAAGGTTAGGCTGTCACCCGAGCACTTCTATGAGCACAGCATGGTGCGCGTTTGAAACGGAGTTTATTGCTGGAGTTGTGCCGAGACTTTTGCACTAGGCTTACTTGGGCTTCTCATTATCATAAATGCTAAACTTCAGCCCAAATTTAGCATGGAAAAATGGAAGCCCTTTGGCTGCCCCTATGCTGAACAGCTGGCCAAGCTGCTGTCTTGATTTTAGGACTAGGAGCATAAACCTGCTTATAGTCTGCACCTGAAATTATACTGTTTTCTGTAGCTGTGCATCAGGGATCAAGTCAACTGTAGGATTTTACAGCCCTCTATGAATCTCTTTGAATTAATACAAATGTATTTGAAGCATTCAAACACCATGTGCCCCTTTTTTCCCCCCTCTCTCATCAGCTGAGCTGTCTCTGTAGCAGAGCTGACAGCCGCTGTCTGCCACGTTTGTCATTCTGCCCCGTCCTCCTGCCCACAGCATCAGAATAAAGAACTTGTTAGTCCTGTCTTTGAGATCAAGATATAAGTAGACAATTGATTTTCCTCCCTCTTCTCATTAGTGAGCTCTGACACTTAATAAAACATATATTTCCACTCTCGGGGTAAGCAAAACACCCAGACAGTGCCTGTCAGAGAGAGCTGGGAGCGGGGATTCATCTTTATGGAAAATCAATAGCTGGAACAGAGAAATTGGCAGAACCCAAATTAAAAGTCGCTGGCAATTTCTGTCTTCATATCTCATGTCTACTGCATTTCTGAAACAGTAATTTGCTGCGAAGGAAACCACCACAGGGGCAGGGAGGAGGATGGCCTTTGTGCCCGGTTCTTCCTCTGCTGCTGCCAGACGGGGCCCCGCGGGTGAGGGTGGGTGACGGGCAGGCGCAGGTTTGGAGCTGCTCTTTGGGCAGATCCCGGGGCCAGGGCTCTCCCACACAGACCTTTCTGCTCGAGGTTGTATCTCCATGGCCGTTGCCGGCACCACTATGATAAGTCTGCCAACTTCACCACCTCCTCCGGGGTTCCTGGCTGTGTCCCCACATCCCCGGACGGTGCCCACAACTCGTTGTGTTTGCCTGGCCCCACGGAGCGGGGCTTTCAGAGCAGGGCTGCCCATCAGCTGGCTTGCCCTGAGCCACTTCAAACCCCGTTATCACAGGGGGTGTGACTGATTTACTCACTGCTTGCTCCCAGTTTCACTGGTGCCTCATACACCGGGAATAAATCATACATTCCAGATATATCCCAAATCTAAATCATCGCCACGCATCAGCGAACTCGCTTTGCTCGTCACGCTGTGATTCAGAAGGCTTGCTTCGAGAAGGAAGGGGGACATAAGTTTTCTAACGAAGCTGGCAGGGGGGAACTGCTCTCCTGGGATGCAAAAGCCCCAGCTGGACCAGATCAGGGAGGAGTTAATTGTGTCCCTGAGGCAGCAATTATCTCCAGCTGATTACACCCACTAAGGGCACCTTAGGAGGGAGCCCCACAGCCTGGACCTGCTGGAGTTTGGGGTAGCTGTTTGTCTTCAGCAGGCCCAGAAGTTTGTGGGTTTGGAGGCTGGTTTGGGGCAAAAACCTCCCCTGGTCTGCGCCCAGCCCTGAGATCGGCTCCGTGTGGGGCTGAGCGCTCCAGATTTCCTCGGATAGGAGAAAGGGAGCCTTGTTTGTTAGCTCACCTTTCCTCCCCCGATGAGTGTGTGAGGATTAGACAGCCCAGACAGGTCTCAGCACCGAAGGGGAGTCCTGGGACGGACAGACCCTCCTTTCTCCAGCGGTGACATTAATTTAAGTACTCTGACACGTGTGCAGGACGTGAGAGGTGAGAGCTTGTCTGAGCCGCAGGTTACAGCGGCGGCTGCTTTACCGATGATCTAGCTCAGGAAGATGGAGCGGGGTCATGGAAGCTCCTTTATCTTGCTGGAAGCTCATCACAAGCCCGCTCGGATATCCTTGTGCTGTGCTGCGCTTTGCAAGACAGGCGTCCTTGAGCAGAAGTTCAAGGCAGGCTGTCGTGTCCCAGATCCCACGAGACAGCCCTTGCCGGCAGGCTCAGCCGTGCACCCCCCCCGCTTTTTCCAGGAGAAATTCCCAAAGGGGTCACATTTTCAGCCTTGTCCCCCAGTCGTCACCTGCAGTCAGTCCCCGCTTGGGGCTGCGGCCGGAGCACGGCGGAGCTAATGTCAGGCTGTAGCTTTCCCAGGGAGCCGGGTGTTTGCCCCTACCCGGGCACGGGACATGGAAGCAGCTCCGAGGCTCCAGCGTTTGTCCTGCTGGGATC